CAGGAATGCTTTGTACTAGTGCAGTTATACCTGTAAGTATCATAGGAACACATTCATCACTTAGGCACTGGAGTTTGAAAATTATGCTTTCAGTTACCCTTGAACAAGTTTTCTAAATGGACTTGCTCTTCCATAAACCATATAATCAACAGAAGAATAAAGATTATTGTCAGACATCATAATATCCTTTGATATTACTGGATGCAACATATCTTAAATTATTATCTTCCATGCAATTTGACCTGAACTTTAAATAGATTAGTAGAAGACTGGTTTATTTCTGCAACACTTAAAATGAGTGTGGCTACGACAAGCGTTAAATTATAAAGTAAACATATTCGTTATGGTTGCCTAAACTCATGGGTTTCTAAATGTCATCAGATCCATGTAAGACCACCCTAGCTAAACCCTGCTACTTCCAGATGCAGAGTATCAACATAGTGTGCTACCTGCCTTGTATAATGCTAAAATTGCTAGCACTTAAAAAAGTTTAATGCAAAAATCATAGAAGTCCCACTAGAGGTTATGCTGTTTCAAGAAAGTCAATGAGCATGACTTATAATTGTGATGAAACCACTGCTCCATCATGTAATAAACTCGTTGTATACTTCTAATTATTTTTTTTCTTTAGTATGACTACAATTGAACAATATATAAATGGTTGTTATTATCAGCTTCTGGAGGCCACTGGAGATGTAACAAACCGCATACAGCGGAACACATACTCTGCTGAACTCTACCATCCTGAGATTCATGTACTCAGACACTAAATTTGGTTCAATTTCACTCACAGCTACGCTTATGAGGACCGACGTTTTGTTCCCTAAAAGAATTTTCATGCAGGAACATAGGTAAAAGCCAGAGCAAATAACTATTTGCCCATATACAAGATTCTTTTATTGGTCATAGGTACTACTCTAAATTTGTTAAATCATCACAACAATTTCAAAGCAAGTTTATGTTCACATGTTAACAGACCGTACTTTCGGATGTGTAAAAATCCAGCAAGTATTTGATGGTAAATAAAAACAAAACCTGCAGTATCGGTAACATCAAAAGAAAAGGTACCTACAGTTTTTCTTCCAGACCTAGCAAAAGTACATGGTGAAAGGAGACTGACTGTTCCTACTTAAAATACATTTGCATTGCTGTTAATGCCACCTCCATTCACCAGTTCTGTCTGTTGACTTTTGTCAGGTTGAAGTCCCAACTTCACAGACATTCTGCGTAAGTGTTAATACTATGTTTGGGGTTGGTACTTCTAGTTGCAACTACTCTCTCAGACTACAACCTCAGAACAGAGACTTACTTAAATTGGGTTTGTATGTGTAGCTAAGATGCTATAAGACGGTAAGTAGTAGCCAAATCTGACACTTCAAGGAGGCTGAGCGATGACAGTGTGATATTAATTATAGTTTAACTTTCCTCTTAACGAAGTATGATCAGCGATGCAAAGAGAGACAGGGCTCTAAGTAGAGACAATGGGGAAGCCCAGACTCACAGACAAGGACTGGAATGGCGATGGAGACCTCTGGTGGGAACAAGGAGGGAAGCAATGTGGTAGTACAAAAGTCACCAGCTATTTTTCGAAGGTGCTTGTTTTCTGAAAGAGCTCTCCCATCTGTAAACTTTACACTCATACGTACACAATAAATAATCAGTAAACAGTCCATGTTACTTGCTTGATTTTGTTTGATATGACCAGCTGCTCTAAAACATCTCGGGAACGATCTGCAAAAGAACCAAGGAATTTCTTGTTATTCGTTCAGAATATATATAGGTGGTGTTTAGAAATTAGATAAACAGCAAAATAATTAAATTATATATCTGCATTTATGCTTATCTTGCTTTTACAATATCACACTTCAGATATACCTGTAGTAATTCAAAACCACTCAGTTCTTTCTCCAATCACATAACTGTAAAGCATCACCAACCAACCGAACTTAAAAGATGCAAGATAGATCATAACCCCTATTAAGTTTGGGGTTTTTTTCAGGCTGACCAGTCCTACTCCATTCCACTGTTTCTTGAATGGATGCTGTTCCATACTTTTGGAATAGAGTAGGGTTTTAACATGCTAATGTATTTTTCTGACGTCTTACTGTCAACTGTGGGTCTTCGTCAGCATGTTGAGGGGGGGAAAAAAAGGAAAAGAAAATCCCTCTCTGAAGGTTGCCATGTTTCAAAGCAAAACTCTCTCCTTGCTTTGAAAATCTCAATGTATGATTATTATTTTATCTATTAAGTTATTATTTGTTTGGGATTATTTACAATGTATAGTGTGCTCTTCCAGAGAGCAAGAAGATACTATCAGGAAGTTAACTACTCTTCTTACTCCCTGCACGATTTGATGTACCTGTCACCAATGGGCATCCATGGAACAGAAAAATGTGTATCTTCGGACAACAAGTAAGGACCGCTTCCACAGCAACATCGGTCAGATTCACACAGCGTTCCATGTGGATCTCCTGTTATGAAAACAGTAGTAACAAAAGCCTGTCAGAGCACCCATAGTTTTGGAGGCAGAGTTTTCCTTTGCCCAACCATTTGCAGAGATCCCCACTCAGAAGAAATCATGACCTACTACTCCTCTGTACATTGACCCCGTATGTGGTCCTGTACAGACCGGGAAAATACCCTCAGGAAAAATAAGACAGCTTTTCTATGAGGAGTCAAAACTGAAAACATAAACCTGGGTTTTCCCAAAACACATATATCATTCAAGACAACTGAGAGAACTCTTCAATGAGATTCTACGGTGTTTGAGTCCCATCAGTTTTCCTATGACACACATTCTCCTAGCAATTTGTTGTCCAGGAGAACAGAACCCAAACCGAATTCTGGGGTTTCCCAAAACAGGCAGGATTCATGAGTCTCTGCTGAAGTTCCTAATACCTATCTATCTATCTACATAGTTCCTAAAAGAAGTCTAAGAATTTTTTCCAAGACTAGACTAAAACCTGCTCTCTTCTTCATTTCTGTGCAGTTGTATAACTAGTACCTGTTTTATGTGCTAGAGAAAGAATAAATTCAGAATACATTAACAGATTATTACCAACTTTTTTTTTTCCTCTAAACTGCCTTACATATCAATAAATAGAACATACAAGAAGAAATGCAGAAGAGAGACTATTAAATGTAATGAAAATAGGATTTGGGAAAATATGCTTTGGAGATCCTAGGGTAAAAATAAAAAAACTCTCATTGTTTTATTGTGAAAGAGCGTCTTTCCGAATGATAAACTCCAAGGATCTTGAAAGAGCACAGAAATGAAAGGGATCTTTTGTAATAAATGCAACTTTGTACAGAATGATAACACAGAAAACAAGAACTGTATTCACAGAAGCACGATATACAAAAGCTGATATATGTATAGTTTTTAGTTCATTTTAATAAGTAAGTGAAATGTGGAATCTGAATGCCTCTGAATGAAGTAAAAAGATTTATAAACTTGTCTGCTAGTTACAGTTTGAGAATTTGAAGACCCTACTTTTTTCACTGTGTACCTGACATTAGATCCCTGTCTATAAATTTGCACTTTGACGACATGAAACAGAGGTATGAGAATTGTGACACAGACAAGGAAGAGAGTTACACTGAAGAAGAGATTGTAGCAAATAACTCCATATTCTCTAATACATTTCTTTTTCTTACTGCTTGTAAACCAAGAGACCTAAACCGTTCTAGCTTTTTATACTGATAGAACACAACTTTTGTTTTTAAAATTGTCATTCCACAGAAAAACATTAAATTTTGCCTTATTAAAACTGCACAGACCGCCCCCCCCCAAACCCCAAAACAAACCACCCAAAAAACCAAATGCAAAAGCGCTTAAATACATGGCTTTTAAGAAAGTGGAAACAAGTATTGAGCACAGGAAAACGAACAAGCAAAATCCATACTACTATTCAGTTTCGCATGACTAAAATTTGCCATTAGCTCTTCTGAAATCAAAGCTCACCACCTCAACATTACTTTCTTGAACACTTACAGATGAAGCAGGTCTCATATAAGCTACCTAACTTGTTCTTCCTGATCTACTACAGCTTCCACAGGCATCCATGCACAGCACACACAAAAAAAAGCCTGTGCACTTTCAAAGAAATAGTAACTACAGCAATGTGACCAGGAAACACCATAAGGCCACATTTTGTAAGCTGGAAATTTTTATTAAGAATAAATGGAACTGTTTCTATGGTTCGAAGAAAAAGGGCTTACACACAAGAATATAGTTCTCTGTGAACTGTGGACAATAATGATACAGAAGAGGGAAGATAATACTGACAGAGTAATTATACCAACATTGCTGGAAAATAGTTCAAAACTCTCTAGGAACTTTACAGAACCCTGCTCTACTCAACAGCAAACCCAAAGCTTATTACAATAAACTTATGAAAACTTATTACAGTATTTGTGTTTTAAGACATATGTACTGAAGACTTTTGAGAGTGACCTAGTCCAAATGACCTAATCCAAATCACAGTGATACACATTGCTTTACATTTGTAGGCTGGATATGAGAGGTGTCTTTTGAAGACTATCCGCATAGTCTCAAGGTTGTTTAGAATATCTAGAATCAATGTTTTGCTACAGCTAAAGGTGTAACCAGCTAAAAGACAAAGATATTTTCAAGTCACTTCTAGTATATATATATATAAAAAAAAATCTCTCATTGCTATGGTCTGAAAAATAATAATTTCATCTTGTACCACAAGACTTATCAAGACTAAAAAGATTGTCCAAAATAGACAAAATCATCTGGAAAAAAACAAAACCAAATCTAACTGTTCGTCCTCCAAATAAAACAATAACAGTTCTATTTTTTCCATCTTATTAATACTGTCAGTTGACGCAGATTTGGTATGTTGTTTAGGGCTGTTTTTTAAATTAAACACTATAAACTAGCAAAAGTATAACTTATTTCCCATCTTAGTTTCTAGATGAATAGCTTGTATTCAGAACCAGCCTTTACGAAAGCAAAACCATGCACACAGATAAGAAATGTACTATAGAGAAAAGTAGAAGATCATTTATGGTAAGAGGTATAGGATGCCTCTTCTCCATCATTTTATCACTGTCTCAGTGCCTAGAGAACCTTTATGCAAAGACAACTTCATTTTCACAGTTGCTTTCATGAGTTAGAGATTCACCTATGCACAGGTGCTAACTGATTTCTTAAATCCATGAAATTATCCACATCACAAACTCTGCCTCAGTGTTCAACAGAATCAAGAAATAACTCCAAAGACATCAAGGGAAAAAGTTAAGCATTCATTTGCATTTATTACACAGCTCTCTAAAACAACATGAGTTAATATAAGCATGCTACATTCAACAGAAGGAAACTAATTTTGAAGACTGAGGTTCTCAAAAAGCTGGTCTGGGGCATTGGTACAGAGAGACAGAAAATATTCAATTCATAAGCAAAATCAGGGCAAGCGTGTACACAAACAAAGGCAAAAGTCAGTCAATAAAAACCATCACTCAGAAGTAATACTGATAATAATAATTAAAAAATGCAGGTATTTGCTTTTGTTCATTTCTTTGTTATTAGGTTAAGTAAGTTACCTTTAAATTCTTTGAACATGTTCCACTCACTAGTGCTGTGACGCCATCATCTGTTACCTAGAGGAAAAAAACCCCACATTGTTATTACCACAATGGCTTAAAGCTCAATTTTTTCCAAACACAGCTATTTTTTGGGGGGGAGGGGGGAATTATTTACTCCCTGCAGTCAGTCATTGAATACACTTGACATTACAATATTTTCTTCCCAATTAAGCTTGTAGAGAAAATTATCCAAGTGTTTTTTTCAGTCTATTAAACACTGTTGCATTTTACTGCCACGTGATCCAGCCTGGCTTTCTACTGGGGTGTTTCCAGCTGTGTAACTGCTACTTCTGCAGCTTCCTTGTCTCGTTTAACAGTGGGTACACTATTATGGTCAGAGCATGGCACTTTTAATTTATAAGGTTTAAAGCACTTCTGCTCTACCTAGACCAATTTTTCTCCTGTTTTCAGGACTGCTGAAGACGTTCCTGAAGGAGGTTTCTTAGGTTGGGAAAAAAAAAAAAGGTAATCATAGCAGTCTTATCTGCTGTCTTACTTTCACTTATCTTGAAGCAAACCAGTTACATAAGACAAAAATCCCTCAAACAAGCAGTCTTACAGCAGCTGTCACACACTCGCACTAAAAGATTTATCAAAGTGATTGGCTACAGACAGCCATTGAAGCAATGATCACCTGCAAGAGAGAGGAGAGAGACAGAAGACATTCCTTTCCTTAGAAGGCAAGAAAGGCCAATTTATTCATTGGCTTCTGAGAACCAAATTCATTAAACATCCTCCCCACCTGAAAAGCTGGATTGCGTATCGTATCTGTCACACAGGTTTTTTTCATAGAGCTTATATTAGATGGCAGGAACAGTAGTCATCAAATATATACAGTAAGGCTCAGCCAAATTTGACAGCTAGAATCCAGAGACCACAAGCTCCATTTCTGTTTAAAGATTTGATTATTCCCGTTGCATAAATTGTCTTACTGCCTTCTGACCCTCTCTTGCAAGTCTACTGTACAGAACTGTAATAGAAAGGGTCAGATCAGTGCGAATGGAGAATGGACAGGAACGTCCCAGCATGGAGGCACATAAAGGCCTGTAAGAATGGCAGGTAAGCTATACCTAGCTTAGCAAGTCATCAAGGTGACAGCACATTTAGCTCCTGAAGGCATCCAGACCAGGAGACAAAGGGCAGTAAATGATTAAATTCCAATAACTCCCATAGGTTGGACAGAATGGAGAGACTAATCACTGTCAGTTCCTAAAGGAATCCAAAACCAGTGCATGGTCACCAACCTAAGACCAACCAAGTAAAGTGATGAACATTTGATAGCCTCTGTCCCTTATCCTCCATGTCATCAAAACAAACCTGGACCAGACTGCCTGGTTGGTGCCTGAACATTGGAGAGACCATCTGAATGCTACTGTCTTGATGCTTGTGAGTATATGGTTATGACAGCGTGAGAGTTGTCCAGTTTTTGTATTAAAACAAAGTCCCCTCACTTCCCTGTACGAGCTCACAGTAACCACTGCTATACTATTACTACAGTGTTGCAGTATTGTTTCCTACCCTATTCAATACCTATGAGCACTGCCTGTAATGCCACATCTGCCCATCCTCTTCAAGGGATGCACTCTTACATTGGGGATAAACCACCTGCAGTTAGTACCAAGCCACAAATACATCATCTTCTTGGTACAGACCAGTTGTCACCAAACTCTGTATGCATCTCTAGCAAAGGCTTACATAGCCCAGTACCAGCAGTTAAGTACATTAGCAACTCAGCTCTGTTCTACACGAGAAGTGTCTGGACAGATAACATGGCTAACCCACAGCACTCCTGCTTTTGCCAACACATTTTGCGGAGAACTAAACTGTCCCACACCCAAACTGCTGCAGTTTGCACAGCCCTTTCAGGCAAGATTCTTCCCACAATTATTTGCCATACACCGAGTCAATGAACATTTAAGAGGAAATGTACTGTTTCATTAGTGCAGGGATTTGGACTCTTGAGCCTGTGTTTCTACCTGTTAACGCTGCTGGGATTTAGGGCACACTAGAAGTAGAGCAGTAAGTACATGGTTTATGTATAGAACCTACCTCCTCAGAATGGTAACATAAGCATACTGGTAAGTAAATATAAATAGATTTCTTATGCGGTCCTGGGCCGGTGTAGCAGAGTTCTTCAGGCCAAGCTTCCACTCACACTCTGTATGTATACAGGGGACACAGAGCTACATCTCCTTCATAGTCCAATCCTTCCCTTGCCTCACCTGCCCCATTTCTTTTTATTTTTCACCACTTCTATATGTTCTACTTACTGTACTTCATCATTGCAGTCACCAGATGAGTCTATTTTTAAAATGGCTACATCACCTTGAGGCATTTGGCCCCTTCGTAGTCTAGCTCACATCTACTTCCTTGCTCCTGCAAGTGAGCCGTGCCCTTCTTTGCCTGTTCATTTATTTCCAGTGTTCTCACTGTTTTACACACAGCTTTGCCAGTTCCAACTTGATATTTTTACTATGCATTCTGGCAATCAAACACAAGAATATGGTTAGGCCTTGCAATCTCTACAGGCACGTGCCATCCATAGTTTCTCTGTTTCATCTTAAACTTATTTCATTTATATCTGGTATATGTTTCCATTTATTTTTAGTCAGATGAAATTCAGAATTCTAGTGCATTATCATGATACGATTATCAGAAAGGAAAAAAAAAAATGTGGAAACGTTTAGTTACTCAAGAAGCTTCCATCTCATTTAAAACATATAGGGTAACTTAGCTATTTCACATGAAGGAAGAGAGAGGCAAGGGAACAAAAAAGTAAATAAGTTGGAAGAAATACAGTTAAATGATAATAAAAATCACCAAAGAAAAATATTGAATTACTTTTTATGCCCTACTTCTGGAAAAAATGAAAGGAGAAGAATAGCTTCTAAAATAAGAGCCTGCTACGCGTTTTCCAGATCTGACACTTCATTACGAATTCTCTGTGCTTGACTCACATTCAACATGAAGTAATCACTCACCATCCCAGTCAACTGAACGCTACACTTACCGCAAAAAATCCTTTCCCCCACTTCATTATCTTACTGTAATTACGAAGTATGTTACAGTATTGCTGTTGCAGCTGATTTCCCCCTTCTCATGCTAAATACTAACTGTTGTTAAATCCTCTTACCTGCCCTTTCTGACATTTTAAATGTCGTTCTTTCCATGTTGACTCCATAACATAACTCTGACAAGCCATTCAGAAAGCAGTCACTCTTGAACTAGAACTAGTTATGGAGTGTTTACTTCTACTAGGGCCTTATATTGTTTGACATCCTATATTATTATTATTCAGGTCAGTTTGTCCTAACTGAAAGCAGACAATAATCTGCCCAAGATTCTACTTTCTTTAAATGAAATATTTTGTATTACTTTACAACTTGAAAAAAATGATTGCACTAAATAAAGATACTGAAAAAAAAAATCTCCAATACTAGGTAGATCCCAATAAAAGTTTATCTTTGGTCCACAATACATGCTGTAATACCAAAATATGTATTTATCTGGCTACGAAGATGCAAAAATATATCTTTCCTTTTCCTTGAGAGGAAGAAATTGGAAGTGAACTGTGGTCCTAAATGTTCTCAAGAGTAGAGCTAAAAAGATCCCCTTTCAATTTTATCATGACAATCTTAAAAAATAAACAAACAAAAGTAAATTAGGCAATTGCCACCATAGTTACCTGAGTAGATGAAAAGTCCACGCTGTGAAGAAATTTGCAGTTTTCTCCTAGTGCCTGCAGAGATGCATCCATGATGCCTGAACAGCTGCCCAAGTTCACTATTTGTAGGAACTGGCAGTTGAGCGCAAGAGCAAGAACTCCACTGTCAGTTATATCGCAGCACCTTTTAAAAGACGCTTCACGCAAGTAAGGACAGGATAAGGCCAGCGCTATGACACCTGTCAAAAACCAGAGCAATTTAAAGAATTATTCATTTTTTATCATAACCACCATGCTGAATCCAATATGCTGTCCCCTGATCATTGACTGTTCAACTTTCATCTCATGCCATGCCAGCAAGACTCTGTACAAGGAAATAATTTTGTGGTTGGTTTCTTTTAATTCAAGGATGAGAAAAAGGAAAATTACAATGAACAATGCTAGAGTTGATAAAAATTTCTAAATGCTGAATTCCCTTCCATACTGCAGAGGGGTACCTGAGGGATAGTATATACATGAGGTACCACCTCAGTGAGTGCATGAAAAAAAGCCAACAGCTTGAAAGCAGACTGATGGTAGTGCTAGGTCCCACTGACGGTGCAGTGAATATCAGGCAAAAAGCAAGGTAAGAGGTCATGTCCGAGGTCAATTCAAGAAATCAAAACAATAGTTCAGAGGCAGGACAGGAACCGGGTACACCTACGACACAGCTCAGGCCAGGACTGAAGGTCCATGGGCAGCTGGTGTAGGTGGGCATGGCAGGGGAGACTTGCCATAGCCATTAGGGTCTGTTGGTGCCCTCAGAGCCCTGACAGTTAGTAGTAACCAAAATATTTGCACAGAAGTGTCAGGAGGTATTCAAAATAAAAGTATGTGAACTACAGATGCAATTCGCGAAAGGAATTTATTTTGAGGATGATGGAGACATGATGATTACAGTGGTACAGAAAATTACATCACTTCTGGATAGACAGAAATAAAAAGTTGAATGTCATTAAGATATGTTACTATGTAAGAACTTCAAAGAAACATGGATAAAATAGTACTTGCTTGGGTCAGAACCACTTTGCAAAGAATGATAGAAGAGACAATAGTGGTAGTTGAACTTGACAGAGAAGTAAGTACTACTGGATATTGTATCAAAGGACACGAAACGTTCCACATGCAACCTACAGAGAAAATGTTTCCTGGTAATGACAGGGCTCAGATATTTCTGGATGTGGTAGCCAGCAGGTTTCTTAAAAAACAAACAAACAAACAAACAAACAAACAAACAACCCAAACAAAACACCAAAACCAAAAAGAAACCAACCCCCCCCCAACCAAACAAACCAAAAAACCCCCCCCACCTGTTACTGAATTAGTAAAAGGTAACACTGCTTTAAAATGGAGTGGTTCTGGGTCTTTTTTTTCTGCATATAATTGAGATGAGTGATAAAGAACTGTGCCAGCTTAAATTAAAGGCTTCATAACTGATTCTCAGTTTAAAAAGGGCTCAGTTTATAAGTAGGAAAGTTAGTAAAGTTGGATGGATTAGGAACTTGCCAATAAAGAACTAGATTTCCCAGTTTTAATTGCAAAGTAATCAGGAATCTCTATCCAAATAGATGAAAAGTATACACAAAGAGCTCTAGGCTTAGCTGGTACCTTAAGAACCATACTAGAAATCAGTGGACAGATGAAGGCATGGAGGAAGACCATCGCAAACTGTATCTTAGGGTCAAAAAGTATAACAATGAGGTGACATTGAAAATAAATTTTTAGAAGTTTAACCAATTACTTAAGTAAAAAGATATGTGTATCACTATGCAGTGGTAAGAAAATACAAACCAAGACTGATCTAAAGTACGGTATACATTAGCTCAATACTAAATTAATATTTTGCCTCAATTTTCAATAAGGATGAGTTAATGATGGAGCAAAGGAGTAAGTGTAATCAAAAGACAAAACAAAACTTGTGGGAAATAAAAGAATTAAGCTTACTGAGTTTTAAGCTAATAGCTCCTGATACAACTTGAAACTGGAGGTTAAAAATAACACCTGAAATCCTAAAGTCCTAAAGCAAGTCAAGACTTAAGACAGAGAAGATGCTATAAGCTTATTTAATAACAAATACATTTAATTAAAAAAGGGGAAAAAAGTAATTTAGGAAATCACAAGCCTGAAACTTCAACCCCAGTGGTACTGTAAGGCTCTGGAACAAGTTTTGAGGAAGGAATAATTAAGATGAAGTGAAAAATATGATCAAATGTTTAGCAAAGTTTTACCAGAAACCTAGCATGAGAGTAACCTGATAGCTCTGTTTCATAAGATAATCAGTGCTCTAGGCTACAATTTACACTGCTGAAGTGACTTTTAATTAGTATTGGTGTGGCATTGGGGATTCTTATTTACCCTAGATATTTTTTGCAATTTACTCCAATCTAACAAGAAAAATAAAAACAGAAATAAGATCCCAGTTATCTGTGCACAGATAACATACCTTCTGAAGTGATTCCCAGTCTGTTTTCTTTGCAGGAATTTAAGTTGATTTTTTTCAGTTGCTTGCAGTTATAAAGCTGCAATAATGCATTATCTGAAATATCACAGTCTCGGAGGTCTAGAGACTCCACAGCAGGGTGCAATACCTGTAATGAAAACCTACCATTTCAGTCAAACTCTGCTATGTCATAGAACATGCATATTTTTTTCTGAAATACTTGTAGTGTTAGACATCACATAGAACTTTTAAAAAAATATTCACTAGAGGATGGGGTTACCAGTCCTAGGAACTAAAAACTCTAAAGAAAATATGGTATATTTGCCGCAGCAGTACATCTCCTACAGCATGAACGTTCAGTTTCTGTGATCACATCTAGAGTAGGAGCACATTAACACTACCATTTAAACAGTAGAATTACTATTTTGCTGGTACAGTTGTTAACACCAGTGCTTCTGCCAGCACAGATACGTTTACCAAGGATAATACCGTCAAACTTACTAGCACAACTTTGATGGCAGAAATCTGAAGTGTAAAAAAATACTGACTGTGATCAAAACTTAAATCCACTGAACAGATAAGGGTAATATTTGAAAGATATTTCGCCCCAGAGCATTGTTCTCACCTACACACACACTCTTTTTCTCATAAACAAGCAATCTCATTATCATACCATGAGGAGGTACCAGATCCTCATTAAATAGGCTCTTTCACCCCCACAAGACCACAGGCTTGAGTTTTTGTGACATCTTCCCCAAGAAGACATTTATGAAATTTAGACCCAAAGCAATGGAAGGCCTCACATTTTAGTAACAATAGCCATATATCTTACCTCTAATTTAATTTTCAAGGATTCTCACTACGTTTTAATAAATACTGTTTATAGCCCCCTCTTGTGCAAAAAAGCTATACCTTTGCTGAGCTGTCCTTCAGACCAATAGGCAAGCATTAGATCAGGTTTTCACATTACCTTATATTACTCCCTTCAGCTTGTCATTCCCTTCCTTAACTCACAAGGATAAAAGCATATGGTAAATTTCCATACACAAGCAAAGATTACAGCATAGCTGACAGGCTTGTTGAAGGCCTATTCCTTTCTCAGGTTCACCATTCTAACAGGTACAATAAAGATATTAAAAGAAATACTGTTTTTCTGTTTTGAAATATGTAAGATGCTAAAATCTTTACTGACAAAGTCAAATAAGCCTTTTGAAAAAAAGCAAAAACTTCTAGTAGATTATAATTGCAACATTTCTGCAAAATGAGTGGCAGACCTCAGACAGCTTTGACAGCTCTTTCTCCCCAAATGCTAAAAGCCTCAAATATGTCTCTTCATGCCACAAAACCACCAACACATCCCACAATACACTTGTGAGTATTTTTCACAAGATAACATTCAGCTCTTATTTCACTCATATTTCTGCATTCGTATCTACGGAACTAAAACAGCCAAACCCAGAGATGACGTGCTTAAAGCCAAAGCGACCATCAACATTACGGAAGATGCTTTCCCTGAGTGGTGGCTTTCTTTCACAATTTCAAATTGCCTAGGACACAACAGAAGTGAGCAAACTGCTGGTTTTGAAGACACATGAGAAATCTTGTGAGAAAAAGAACGATTAGATGCAAGGAAGTCTAAATGAGAAGCAACAATACTATCAGAATACTGCCTATTTAAAGTAGCTAGAGGATTAAGCTTCCCTAGCCCATGATTCTTCACACGCTCAGGTATTACTTAGAGGTTTGCTTTCTATCGTTACTCACAGATTCATATTCACTGAATGCATATACTAAAATCTAATCTATCTCAAAGAAGATGGAATTTTAGATAGAGTAAGGATTGTTTGGGTGCAGAGTACAGGAGATTAAAGTATAGACTTATATCCTGTGTACACACGCTGAGTGGCTTTATAGATCTTTATGGTAAAAGTGGGTTGGAATAAGGAATTTAGCATGCATGTCATGGAAGGCTGCTCCAAGCAAAAAGCAGACTAAGGAAAAAAAAAAATGCACGATAACACAAATCTGGGCAAGAACAGGGAGGTAAGAGATGAAATAGAAGTTTATACGTAAGTGCAGGTTAACAGAATTTCAACTGGAAGAAATTTAACTTCAAGCAAAATGCTTAAACAACACCAAAGAATGGACACGCACAAAAGCAAATGAGATAGCATAGCCTGGAAAATTCCAAGAGAATAGATCTAGCCGCAATACTGTGGAGACTATGAAATAAAAGGGCAGGACAGAAGCAATAGCAAAGAAAAAAATTCCTTATCCATATGGAAGACTAATTGAGACGTTGCAAATGTGTCACATGTAGAATACTTTGGTTATATATGATGTGAGCAAGAAATAGTAAGAAGAGCTAAACAATGAAGCCATTTTTGCTATGCCGAGCAACAAGAATATCTGCAAGATGAAAGAACAGGAAAACTAAAGAGCAAAATGGTATGGAGAAACAGTATGAATTCAGAATCCAAGAGGTGGCTAGCATTTTTTTAAAAATGCAAGTGAGATAAACCTGGAAACTGTTAGCAAAGAAAGCTAAGGTACAACATGGCCAAGCAAAGTGATGACAGCTAAGGATAGAATTGCAGGAAATTGCAGGAACAGAGAAAGGAAAAACACAGGAGAAAAAGAACCAGAACAGAATATCCCAGTATCAGATGGAAAACAGGTTCCAAGAGAAGGCGTTGATCAACTGCTGAATGAAGACAAAGACAGATGAGATTTTACAAAGAGACAGAGGAAAAGATTGTAACTTAAACTCTCTAGTTTACTTCCAGACTAAAGATATCCTAATAGGTTTTGTGCATTTATACACACAGAATCATACGGTTTTAATTATATACATCTCTTAGGATGCTTAGAAAGGATTACTTACTGAAAAGATAGCCTAAACCAAATTTTGTCAACTCAAATTTTCCAAAATAAGGTAAATGAATAAGACACTGATTTTTCCTCAGAGACTTATTTTGTACAATAAAAAAATGGTGCATAGTAAAGATAAAACTTTTTGTTCATAAGTTTTCCACAGTATTTCTGATTCTGCCTCTAGTCTTGGCTTCACTATTGTGACTCTGAGAAACTGATACTATTTGCCTCTTACGAGTTACAGGACAAAGCAGGAA